TTGAGCAGTATGGTAAAACAGAAGTGTATTCAGAGAATGTGGTCATTCAAACATTAACAAAGACAGCAAAACTGGGGATGAAGCAGTAGAGAAAGGCTTTCCAGGAGGAGATAGTCAGAATGGACACACAGGATCTCTCCTAGCCTCCTGACAAGGAACTAGCCCTTTGGCAAAAAAAGGAGAAGAGGACATTCCAGAACGCTAAAATAAATGTGAAATGCTATGCTGGAAGTGAATCGGACAAAAGTAAAGATTAGAAAGAGAATGCTCCTTTATTAGTACATGAGTTACCAAGTAAGGGAAGCCAGGTACACTAGTTTGTATTGTGCGGTATATTAAAATGTAATCACATTTATACTTCCCCTTTTAACACTTCTGGCAACTCTATATTTCAAAATAAGAAAAATAATTCTTAATAAAATCATATCTGCTAACAGCATGTTTCAGTTTGCCAAATAAATAAATAAGGAAAAAACTATGTTCATTTTCCTCCATTATTTTAAGACTTCTGGGTAGTATTTGTGTTGAGAAACAACTTATAACTCAGTTCATTATTCTTATTACAGAAAATACAGTCTTCCTTTCAACTCAAGAAATACATACTGACTACACACATCATACCAGCTACACTCTGTAGAAGAAAGAAAAATGAAGATTAATAGCATCTCAGGAACTTAGACTCTAGGAAGGAAATTCAGGCCCATACCAGTATACATACATTACCACTTTACAGAATAGAGAACACAAGTGCCTTTAGAGATGTACAACACTCTACGGAGATTCAAGGATAGAGCAAGATTAGGGGGAAACCAGTAGGGACAGACTACCCTACGAGGTGTTAGAAGGGACTTACAAGGATCAACAATAGCCTTTCAGCAGGGAGATGACATTTACTGGGAAAAGGAGAGGAGGCAGCTTCAGGAGGAAGGAACATCAAGTGATGTAATGCTGGATGCAGCACAAGGCGTGTAAGAGTGAAAAACAGGTTGGGAAGGTTGGCAGTACACTGGGCAGATCTTTTGAGTGAGAATTCTGTACCCCACACCATTTCATAAGACACAGCAGTTCTTGGATTTACAACTATGGAAGTAACACTAGAAGAGCTACAATAGATTTCTTTTGTCTTTTACTGAATTCTCACAAAGAAGTCAATGCCACATTCTAGATCAGCGGTTGCCAACTGGTGGTCCGCGAGGTCCGAAAGGTTGGCGACCGCTGTTCTAGATCACTCAAACTTATCCTAAGTAATATTAAGACCCACGCCAGGTTATCCTCACTCATGAAAAAAATCAGGAAGGATGAATAATTTGATGTAAGTAGCAGGGAGATTTGTGTTAGGGCCACACAAATGCATCCTAAGGATCATTTGATAAAAGAGAGATGCTCAAGTCCCATTCCCTAAATCAGTCTGATCAATAACTGTGTTGAATCTGTATTTCTTATAAGCATCCCTAGTGACTCACTCACAGATAGTCCTTGTTTTGAAAATACTGCCCTACAGCGAGGTTCCCGGCATGGCACCAGGACAGCTGGGCAATATGAACAGGTTCCATCACAGAAGATAATATATATCCAGATACCTTGGATCTAGGGGTTCTTGAGGTGAGACCTAGGCAAGCATAGCAACTCTGTGGCTATCATATCAAAAGTCCCCAAACTCCAATTTTTATACCATTCCAGTTAGTCATTTCTTGAATTATAATCATGTAGAGAAAACAGCCAAGTCTCCCTCCATACTAGAATTCTGAGCTCAAGAAATTCCTGAGAAAATGACTCAAATTTCTGAAGGATAAAAGAATTACTAGCAGAAATCATTACACTCAAGTAATATTGCAGGCAGGTGAAAAGAAAAGGATCAGTTTGCTGGCAGTAGTCAAACCATGGGAAATATCAATGGATTTTTTTAGTCTAAGGATTAAATATAATTTACAGCAATTATAATCAAAATGAATATTCATTTAAAAAATGCCACTCACTGGCATTTATATATTTGCTTATAATAATTTTTAACAGATATCCCTAATTTGAGTGTACACTCCTTGACACCATTTCTTGTACTTCTTTGTATCCCAGTGCTGTATATCACAGAAGGCACTCAATAAAACTGGCATTGGAATATTTTTCTAAGTTAAATATCTCTATAGAAATAGCTAAAATACGCCCTGACCGGTTTGGCTCAGTGGATAGAGCATCAGCCTGCGGACTGAAGGGTCCCAGGTTCGATTCCAGTCAAGGGCATGTACCTTGGTTGAGGGCACATCCCCAGTAGGGGGTGTGCAGGAGGCAGCTGATAGATGTTTCTCTCTCTCATTGATGTTTCTCTCTATCCTTCTCCCTTCCTCTAGGTAAAAAATCAATAAAATATATTTTTTAAAAAAGAAATAGCTAAAATAAAAGTTTGTTAGGGAAAACTGAGTAAAGCTTAAGAATCTGTACTTCCCTTGAAAAGTACAACTTTTCTCATGTCCACATGGCTGGCTCCCTCACACCTTTCACAACCACACTCATTGTGAGTGATAGACTGTTGGTTAGAGAATCCCAAGAACATACATATAGTATTTTTATATCAGAGCAGGCTTTGCGGCACATTTTATAAATATTTAGCTCTGAATTTTGCAAAGTGGTGGAGTAGGAGGCAGTTTTCCAAAGCTTCAATCCAAAATAAAATTAATCTGTCATACTGACTGCCTTTACTATGTTGTCATATGGAAACATTTAAAACCATTTCAATAAAGGATTATAAGGGGTGGGGGGGGGGGTCATTGAGGCTTTCCTAAGCCACTCTATCACCCCATCTCCATCACTGATTTTCAACATTTTATCCCCCTTCCCTGCATTTCCCCCCTTACACTTATGATCTAATGCACTGCATATTTTACTCATTTGTAATATTTGTCAGGCTTCCACTAACATAAGAATTCTTATTTTGTTCACTGCTGCACTTTCTTGTCTGGAGCAGTATCTGGAGCTTAATAGATGCCCAATTGTCACCTGGTAAATGAATGGATGAAAGACCCAATCAATCAATAAAAACCAAGAATGGGTAACTAGAAAGTCTCTTATTTTAAACAACGAAATTTTTCCTATCCCTGAGGAAATAATTAAAACAGCTTTTACAGTAGGACACAAAGTGCTCAGTTCATTCACTGAAAATGCTCTGTAAAATTCCTTCCGGTTGTCAGGCAATACTTGGTCGGGCTGACTTCTTCCTTTTCATTACCAATTGTTTTCTTTTAGCGAATATGACACAGGATACTTCTGAATTCCACCAGCAACTCAGTAACAGGAATTGCAGGAACCAGGAAGTGTGGGAACATTGTAATCTGGTTAGCAGGCAGTCACCAAGTGAAACCAGTCAGCTCTACATTTTCCTTTCCTACTGAAGGTACAGGGCCCTTGTTTCAAAACAATCACCTGGATATAGTGATTCACTTTTAAGTCAATTCGCCACATTGCTTAAAGGCTTTAGCTAACTTCATTTTGTTTCACTTATGTTGTTCCCCTGGCAATGTGTCTATCTGTTGTATTGCTTTGAGCAGAGGCTGTATGGCCTCTGACAGTCTCAGGATTTCTATTCCTCTGCAGAGTTCTTTGGCAAGTGCCAAGAAATGTTAGCCCGAGTATATTCAACTTTACCCTACAGGGCAAATCGTCAGTTGATGGCAGACTATCTAGTCACCGTACTACTTTCTGGCTGCAAGAAATGTTATAGGTCAAAGATTACTCAAATACCCTGTAGTTAGTCAGACCTCAACCCACCCTTTCTGGGAAAGAAAAAAAACACACACACAAAACCAACAACAAAAAACCAACC